CCACAATGTCTGATATTGTTGTTCCCGAAGGATGGAGTGCTTGGGTAGTTGCATCTGGCCATGAGTAAGATTGCTTGGTTTCAAGTCTTGTCGTTACTGATTGTGAAACGTCATTAACTTGCATTTGTTAATGTTTTTCTTTCCTTGTTTGAACAAATCTAGGTACCAATTAACATTCGCAGAGTATAAATGTCGAGGAGTTGGAGCAAATACTGCAGGGCGCGTAAAATGGGCGAACAAGTTGAATGTGGACGAGTTGACTCGGTTAACGAGCATGTCTTTCATTGATGAAGAAGGTTGGATGAGTAGACAAGTTTTCAACATGATGGACTAATTTAGCAACCATTGAATTACTCTCACATAGTTTTTCTTTATAGGACATGAAATCTAAGATGAAATTGTGTGTAAAGTTGAAAAATGTTAGGTTTCGAAATCCCTCTTAATATCTATTTGTTTCTCAACGTTTTTCCCATTACATTAATTGCTTCTATGAACATATTTACAATTTTTTTTACTCATGATACTTTACTACAAAAGGAAAAAATATCACGATAAATCCACCGAAATAAATGTAATTGCATAAAGTTTCCATTCTCTTATAGATATTTTTACTATTGTAATTATAATTATAGAAAGAGATTGAATCGTAAGAGAAGAAATCTAAAAATGTTGTGGGACCGGTTGCACCCCATCCCTCCACCCTTTCTATGCACTCTACAACACCTTTGCTGCAGAAGGAAGTAATGCAGCAGGAACATGAAAATCAAACAAATTATATCAAGAACCAAATACATCAAAGTTACACCGGGCAGCCTCCATACCACTTGTACTTAGGGATGGCAAAAAATGCTTGTCGGCTTGGGCTCGGTTCCACATAGCTGAGGCTCGGGCCGGCCCGACGGGCTATCCGCTTTACAAGAAAAAAAATTTAAATAAAAAAAATCTTTTTTAGCTGTAGGTTTGATAGCAGGAAAAAAAAAACTGAGCGGCTTGGCTCGGCCTGCTAAGGCTCGAGCCGAGCCTTGTTTTTTTGGCAGAGCTTTTGCTGGGCTCGGGCCAAAAAAACTTGGCCCTTTTGGCTCGAGCCTAAGCTTCGAGTTTCGGCTCGGGCTCAGCTCGTTGCCATGACCAGTACTTCTTCAACACACTTCAAAGAAGCACTTTATGAGCATCATATCCATTTAAGTCCATGTTTTGCTAAGTTGATCAATACTTGTTATTTAGCCCGTCTGGTTGTGCTTTTTTGCAACTCATTTTTGAATTGCATGATATCTAACAAGTTTCAGACAAAATACTGTACCAAATATGCCCTTTAAGAGTAGTCAAACATGACAGTTGATGAAAATGTGTACAAGTACTTCAAATACTTAAAAGAGGTAATATAGACTTTTTCCCTAATAAATGCCATTTCAGCAAGAAAGTAACTGAATTCCATGCAGCTTTATCTCTCCACATGTAGCCGTAGGGCCTTTGATTTGACAGGAAAATTGATTTTTTGCAAAATAGTGAGCCTAGATAGGGTTTTACAGATGTGTTGTTCTAGGTGTACACAAGGATCCCCATCTTGGTTAACATCACTCTCACAAGAATGGGGTCACAATTTTAAGAGACATACTAGTTGTACAACAGCCACTCACATGGAATGATCCACTTTCTCTTTTTTTGAATTTCTTAAACATGAGGACCCCGCACACATGTGAGAGGTTGTCAACCTCGATTATACAAATAAAATTTTTCCGAATTTAAAAATCTTGGGCCCCACACCCTCTGTGAGAGGGTTGTCACTCAACATTTTTATTTACAAATTATGTTGAGGGGGATAATGGTTGCAGAATAAAATTTCAAAATTAAGAAATTAGGTTTATTATTTCAGAAATCAGGTCTTAATTACATTTTATTAAATAAATAAATAATTTAAAAATATTTTATTAATTAAATATATTAAGGTCACGGTATTATACAATTTATGATAACAGTTACGTACTAGTCATAATTATAGATGTCACAATTAGCGGTGGCAACGAGCCGAGCCCGAGCCGGGAAAAAAAAGCTCAGGCTT